ATATATTTACAGTAGGAAATTTACAAAATATCTTTATGGAACATGATCTTAATATCCTAATGATTTTTGGCATAAAAGAAAAATCTATAATTTTGACCCATACAATGTATTGTTGGCTATTGCTACAAATATACCCCAGCGACTTAACACTGCTTTTGTGCTCCAGGGTCACGTATTGTTTTGAACATTTCATTGTTGTTGTTGTTTTTCGCCCCAGAATTGTTCTCCTCATTTTTTATCTTGGTTGTGTTTCAGCATCAGTCCTGTCTAAATCAACACAGATTTTAATAGAAAATTCCTAAACTGCCCCATGGCTGGTTAATGTAGATGTCGATTACACGTCAGCCTCACGTCTGATCTGTCGCTCCGCAGGTATCTCAACTACTTCGCCACCAAGTCGAGTCCGACCGGCGTGATCCTGGACCTGTGGGAGGCGCAGCACTTCCCCGACGGCAATCTGAACCGTCTAGCGGCCGTGCTGGAGGAAATGGGGCGTCACGAGAACATCATGAGCGCCGAGCACTGACCTCCGTCCTTCCCAGGAGTCCCAGCGGATCACTGTGAGCGCGGCAGACCCGCTCCCAGCAGAGGAAGACGTTCCCATCCCAATCAGTTTCTTAGGAAACGCGACTTCTGCCGTCCAAATACTGGACCTCCGGCTTGACGTCACGTGAGTCGTGGCGGTTCGTTCCCTAAAAACACTCGGAGGTACCTTTCTATCAATCTGTGTTGAGAAATGCCTTTATTTATATCCCGTTCCTCGGGTTTTGCGTCTCATAGTTTTTTGCGCCACCCAGTGGACTGAGCCTGTAACTACACGTCTGTCCAGCCTCCTGTAAATATACAGCAAACACATCTGAACTGTAAAGTTTAACAGTGTTATTCTTCTGTTTTCTTTTGATTATTAATTGTTTTGTTGCATAGTGATCTGTGTGTAATCGAAATTTAGAGGGAAAAAGGAAACCAACGGACATCTTCGAGCGACGATTGCACCGTTTTGTAAACTTGCTTCGGAAGTAAAACGTGACGTGAATTTCAGGAATAAACTTTACTGGCCAGAATTCACAGAGCGTCATCATGCTTTCTGCTCGCTTCTGAAGAGGTCCGTCTCTGATCCTCTGAATCGTTGCGATTGTAACGGATGGAGAGCAGCGGATCGGAGGACGTTCAGGAGTGAGTGACTGATGAACGGATGGATGCATGCGGTAAAATACAAAGTGTACAGAGACCAACTTAAGTAATAGCCATTGGAGTGTGTTTGTACTTCTGCGTTCACCTTCATTCTCTCTTGTTCAGATTTCTAAAGCTGTCTATGCAAAATCAGCATCCTTTATAAAGCAAAGTATACATGCTAAAAACCGCTAGCAGTCGCTTTCCATAGTTATCATACGATTATTATATTTATAGTGAGGATGTTACTGATTCTTTTATGGCACGTTCATGACGTAATTTGCGAACTCTTGCATCTCCTCTGTGAAGTTTCTGTACAAAATGTAAGAAAGAATTTTTAAACAAGTAATAAATTATATTTATATGCAACACTGATTTGGAGTGCGTGTCGTTGTTATGTTTTTATATGCTAATATGCATAATATAGTATTATCAAAGGTCATAAGTATAAGACGTTTTATTTATTTTCACTGTAATTGTCATGTATTTCATTTTTAATAAAAAATACATTTAATACAGCTAATTTTTTATTGTTTTTATTTATTTTTGTGTATTTATGCATTTTTGTTTCAGCGCTGCAAAAGTTCAATCTGCTTAAATGAACATACTTTTTATCAGAAGCGTTATTATGGATTATGAGTATTTTACTCAGAGGCAATATATTAAATGTCTTAATGATGGCTTAATTTCTTACAAACACGCAGCTTTTGTCTTCTCAAGACATTAACTGGAGTGCTGTGGATTACTTGTGGATTATTGTGATGTTGTTATCAGCTGTTTGGACTCATTCTGACGGCACCCATTCACTGCAGAGCATTCATTGCTGAGCAAGAAACAAACTCATCCTGATGTTGGATGGTCTTGGATGGGTGAGCACAATTTCAGCAAATGTAAATTTCTTTGAGAAGTAAGTGAAAACAAGTGTGGCCAAAAAGAAGTAATAGTTCATTATAAATTATTAAGTGTATGTTTTTTGTTGGCTGTTTGGACTCATTCTGACGGCACCCATTCACTGCAGAGCATTCATTGCTGAGCAAGAAACAGACTCATCCTGATGTTGGATGGTCTTGGATGGGTGAGCACAATTTCAGCAAATTTTTTTTTTTTAAACACTATTTCAACTCTTTGTAAATTTATGTGAAAATGTTGGTGTTTCCTCGTAAGAAAGATGAAAGAAAATAGTAAGGAGCATGTCAGAACTTAATTCATTTTATTAAAGGGACGGGAATGTTAGACACTATGTTGTCACATTTACACAGAACTATGAAATATTAAACTTTTACATGTTTGTTAAATAAGGCACAAGGCAACATGAAAGAAAACATCCTGTACAAACGTTCATGTAACGCACCAAAACATTTGTCTTTAACGCATGACATTCAATATGTACATTCATATTCTACAAGGACGTATTTCTGCAGAGCGAGGAAACGACTGGATGATAAACCTGGCCGTCATTTCCATAAGTCTTCGGGAAAATGTGAGAGGAAAAAGCTTCATTTGTAATGTTGTGTGGGTCAGAGTTGGAAAATACATTTCATTGGATCATTTAGTTGTTTGTTTGCTTCCAAAAAGCTGTGGATGAGTATTGAGAGTTAGAGCTGCATGTTGAGTGTTTATGGGTTGACGGTCAGTGTTTATCTGTGGTGTCCTGCTTCGCTGTCGGGTGAGCGGCTCGAATGAACTTTCACAGAAAGCAGGATAAAGCCGCTGTGTCTCCTCGGAGCGACGCTCGTGTCACAGTTTGATGTCTTGAGACTCGGACATCTTGGCGAGGGTCTTCTTCACCCGCAGGGCAGTCAGACGGGACGCAGGATTGTGAGCCCAGCACTCGGTCATCAGTTTGCCCATCTGCCGCAGACACTGGACACACAAACACACAGGTCAGCTTCATACAGTACAAACGTATTAGAAATGAATGAAGGGTGAAATGATAGAAAACAATGCCTTGCTTCAAGCCTTGCTCAGAGTGTCGGTCCAAATCTGATTTTTGTGCATTGCAATGTGATCACATGTAGCATGTGTGAGTAACCAAAAAAATACAATGAAATCTGAATTTTCGAAACCTGTTTGAAAGTGCATTCAGATGTGGTTTGAAATCCTATTCAAATTGCATTTCTGGAAATGTGTGTCAGTTTGACTGTTCAGACTGGATTTAGTGCTTCTTGTCGAAAACTTGCTGAACGTCTTTGCAGAAACGAGCTTGTGTTGTTGCAAAGTGCAAGTCATGTGGAAAATGACGACACACTGCTAGTGAACGCAGATCTTTGAGTTTAGAGACTGAGACTGAGTAAAGTCATTTCTGCTGATGCCTTATAAAATGCAATGGGTTTAAACTTTATTTAAAGCCTTTATGTATAATGCATTACAAAAGTATTTGAATGCATTAATTGTGGCTTGTAATGCACCGTGCAATCTGATAAATAATTGTAACCACAGTTAATACATTATCGCACTTAAGAATTCATTGTTACACTGCATTTTAGGTTGTGTTCTAATCATTTATGACCAAATGTATAGCAATGCACATTATGAATAATTATAATGCAAGCCTTTATAATGCATTATACATTAAGGGTTTAATCCAGTTGTAATCCAGTGTGATGGCAACATGCTGTGATGGTGTAAGACAACATCTGTATTGCTGTTGTTTTTAGTGTAGGCATAACAATGCAAAGGCACTGCCATAGAAACCAATGCTGGCAGTAAAATGAAAAAGCACACAAATGGGATTTGAAGAGTTGCAATTCCAATCCGATATCCAGAAAAATTGGCTTGGGACTGCTAGTGTGAACAAGATGACTGTCGATCCAAATTTGCTTCGAATCGGAGTGAAATGTTTGAGTGTCCACTTTAGCCTTGTTCAGACTGTGTCCAAATCTGATTTTTGTTCATATGCAAATGGAATGCGTTGGAAAGGATTGAGTGTCCACACTATGTATCGCATTTGTTCAGATGGGGTTTGTGTGTCCCGTGGTGCTTTTTCATTTTATGTAATATTTGCATTGTTTTCAATGGCAATGAGATTGTGTTGGTGTGCGTACTCTAAAAACAGCAATACAGTTTGCACTACAGATGTAGTCTTATGACATGACAACATGTTGCCATTGTAGCGTCTCGACCAATCTGACACACTAATTTTTATTTGATTTAACAAATCAATTATTCATTAGATTAACAAATCGTCACAGTCCCCTCACTCAATAAACTGGATGCCAGGATTTCTGCAGAACACCAGGCCCCCTGGTCACCATGACAACTAATCATGATATCACTGGTTTTATGACCCCCCAGGAATGTGAGTAGAATAACCCACTCATTGTCCCCATAGGAAAGGCAGAGCAGAAATTGACTTTTCTACTAATTAATTCATAGGAAAACCTTTCTTTGAATGAAATGCAAGCCTTTATAATGCATTATACATTAAGCGTTTAAGTAAAGTGTTAACATGAAATGTAATCCAGTGTGATGGCAACATGCTGTGATGGTGTAAGACAACATCTGTATTGCTGTTGTTTTTAGTGTAGGCATAACAATGCAAAGGCACTGCCATAGAAACCAATGCAGGCAGTAAAATGAAAAAGCACACAAAAGGGATTTGACTGTCAGTCCAAATCTGATTTTTGTTCATGTGCAAATGGAATGCGTTGGAAAGGATTGAGTGTCTACACTATGTATTGCATTTGTTCAGATGGGGTTTGTGTGTCCCGTGGTGCTTTTTCATTTATTGTAATATTTGCATTGCTTTCAATGGCAATGAGATTGTGTTGGTGTGCGTACTCTAAAAACAGCAATACAGTTTGCACTACAGGTGTAGTCTTATGACATGACAACATGTTGCCATTTAGCTGGATTATATTGCGTTTTATGAGGCAGTGGCAGAAAATTGAATGCTTGTGTTTATTCTGTGCTGCTGTTGTTCTGCCGGTCTCAAAAGCATTATATATTCATTTTCCGCATGAGTTGCACTTTGTAACAGCACTACCTTGTTTCTGCAAAGATGTTCAGTATGTTTTTTACAAGCCACATCTGATGAGAATGTGAAAAAGCTACACAAAATCCAATCGGAGCACTCCGACTGAAATGGATTTTCAGAAATGTGACCTGACTAGGATTTCAAAGCATATATGAATGTAGCTTGAGACAGAATGTGGAAAAATTGGAGATTGTGCTATGTTCTGCTGTTCAGACTTGTGAAATATGTTTGTGTTTGAAGTGGATGTGCGCAAGGCTTTGGAGTGACAGTGTGAACAGGGCAAACTAATTCAAATTCAAAGGATCAAATCAAATGAAATATGAATTGGGAAAAAGTAGTTGTGTGTGACAGAGATGAGGTGAGATTAATAGTGATCTTGGAGGAGGTGTAGTGGTGTTGAAGTAGGTCCAAAAAAGGGTTCTGTTTTGAAGAAGGGCTGCTTTGATTGTTTCGAGAGAAGCATTTTGTGAACAGTAGTTGTGTGTTAATAAGTACGGAGGATGAAGCAGGTCTATTATGGCTGAACAGAACAAAAAGTTATTGTGTGAAAGGGTTTCCAAGGCAACATTTTTCATTGTAATGTCTTGAAAAGAGGTGAAGTGAAATTGTGTAGACATTTATCACAGTTTCCCTTTCCACATGTCTAACCCACAATAGAATGTGAGGAATGTAAAGTAAATAAGGTGAAAGCAGAAAAGAACTTCAAAAGTGATGGAAAAATATGGCTCAAAACACTGGCTCTTGTTATCAGGTGGCATGTATTAAAAGGGGGCGGGGGCTGTTGTGTTGGAAAGTAGTTGCTGTGTTTGTCGAATTGTGGTAGTGTGTTAGTAATGATGGATATATTTGGAAGAGGATGTTTAGAAGCAGAAAGCATGTATGTAGACCGTAAGTGCACTGTAAGAAATGAGTGCTTGTAATGTCATGACATAGTACTTACAGACACTTCATAAAAAGTGGGCTCACACGCTATACGAGTGTGTTAATGGCTACGTTTACCAACTGACTTCAGCTCATTGCCATGACTAGAACTAATCCTGCCACGTTTCTGCCTCTGGTCTTGTACCATCCACCAGCTCAACTACACAGCTTCATGCACGATCCAGATGTGCTGCTTTCCTTCAACATCCACTTACACCACTCTTCTCCAGCAAGACTCATTTTGGATGTGTTTTGTGAGACCCAGCCATCTTGCCTCTTGGTCTCTCTAATAATTAGCTGACAAGTTTAATCAGGTGTGCTTCATTACCAGCTCTTCAGAAGTGCTGCTGTGCCTCCAACAACAGGCTTTGCAAACATTGATCTACACAAGTAGTTTTATCTCATTCTTTCTCCATTTCTGTTATTTTCTCTTTAAGCTCACTCCTGACTCCTCTGGTCTGTTTGCTCTCTCTGTCTGCTCTGTGCTCTTGTTCCTCTCATGCAAATTACTTTGGATTAAAGAATGTGCCACGTGCATGAATTATGTGTTTGCAACAACTACTTGACTGTCTAACAAGGCTTTTGACTCGTATATACTCACAGCAAACCTATCCATTCTATTCAGACACTTCAACTAAGAGCAATTTCATGCACATGCTGTTATATAATGCTGCTCAAAAAATGACAATTCTGATGCTTGTAATGTCAGTTAATAACACATTTATAGCACATACCTACATAAAACTACATCTCTCATCTTATTTTCAAATAGTTGTATCTCGGCCAAATATTGTCCTATCCTAACAAACCATACATCAATGGAAAGCTTATTTATTCAGCTTTCAGATGATGTATAAATCTCAATATCGAAAAATATTGGTTTTGTGGTCCATGGTCACAAATGTCCAATAATAAGTCGTAGTAAGATGAGATTGAAATGATCCGAACATATAATGCAGTGATTGAGAGCTGAAGAAATAAAGGCTCCTCAGAAGATGTGAGATGTTCTGGAGGCTTGTGAAGATCATTCCTCCGCTGAGGAACAGTGAAAGTAAAGCTTCTGGAAACAAACGCTCCTCAAAAGATCCTGAGGATCAGATTTGAGACTCTAAAACATGATTGATGGAGAATCAAGTAAAGCTGAGCTGCTTCAGTCCAGTAAGTGTTCATCTGGAGATATTACTGCAGTTATTCTGACCTTTACTTGATCAAAATCAGTCAAGATTTGACAGCAGAAACACACGAGAAGCTGGACGCTTGTACAGTTACACTAAAAGAGCTTTTACTGCAACTCTAAACTAAACTATCAATCACACAACAACACAGCTGTCAGTGTACTCCATGTAAGTTTATCATTTTCAGGACATTTGCATATTAAATATGATTCATAGAGTTAAGCAAGGAACCAGAGCCAGTTTTGGTAGAACGTGGCTGTATATGAGCGTATGATGTCTGTACCTCATCGCTGCTCCAGCGGTTGGGGAACGAGGGTCTCTGTCTCTTGACGCACACCACCTCCCTCATGTCCTCGTAGGACGGGTCGGTCGGCACAAGGTCGTGATACGGCAGCTGATACTCCTCCACGATCCCTGCAGGACCACACACAGCATCTGTTTACTGCCAATGATTCTTTTGTGAGTGATTCAGTGCTTCATTGTTCATAACTTTCTCCTCTGAATCATCTTTACACTTCTGCTGATAAAATACTCGGAACTGAGTGTGTGTGCTAGGGATGGGACGATTACCGGTTTGACCATAAATCATGATAAAATTCCCCACCTTTTCATATTTTAATAATATAAAAAATAAGCACAGTTTTAAGTAACAGTGTCACGTGCGCACAGCAGCATAGTTGTTTCATTTTGAGTGAAAACATGATGGAAAGCTGGAGGTTTTAAAAGAGCGCTAAGGGAATTATACAAATGAATATATTAATGAATGAATTATATGAATGTACCTCTGAAGGTTCTGTGTTCAGAAAAGATTCGATGGCATTTTGTTTTCATCTTCGCTCCATGTAATACCTAATAAAGTGTGTTTTAATTACAACGCTGCTTTGTGCAGGAGTTTACGGTAAACAGCTGTAATTCTGATGCTCCAGAAGTGCCACCTGCTGTCAGATACTGGATTTACACACACTTACATTCACATTCAGTCTGTGTGCAGCAGTTTCTGTCTGGCCAAAAAACGGACCGAATTTGTATGCCCTGCTGTATATTTTCCGTCCGTGACGTCACCCGTAGGTTTCTGAAGAGAGTTTTTGAAGCTCAAAGTAGGCGAAGAGCGTCACTCCCGGATAATCGAAAATGGGCAAAGAGGCGGGAGCTGGTTGCTGAAGCCACGCCCACCTAGCTCGACATCGGTGACAGCAGCGGCAATCCACCTGTCACTCAAGTGGCCACGCCCTTAATTATGCAGAACTTTAAGGCTTAATATAATTTAAACCTATGAGTAATAAAAAAATGCACCGCCCTCACAGTTGTCATCAAGGGCAATATTAGCTATATAGACCAAAACCACTTTTTGAACCAGGCTGTAAACATGTTTTTTTCTGCTGTAAAGTTGGGCATTTTATAATAACCGATCCAAAGGAAATAAATCTAAATTTTGCAAAGTTTTATACAGAGGTTTATACTTTCATAGGGAAGTTTGATCAGAAAAATATTGATAGTTTTATGGAAGGACTACACTTCCCAAAATTAAGCGAAGAGGCTTTAAAGGCACTAGATGCAGAAATAAGCATTGAAGAGGTGGAAAATGCTATTAAAGAGTTCCCTAACAACAAGGCCCCAGGACCTGATGGGTTTAGCGTCGAATTTTACAAAAGATTTAGTAAGGTCATTTTGCCATTGTTGGTACGTATGTTTAAGCATTCACAGGAAACTGGCCGTTTTCCTGCATCTATGTATGACGCCAATATTGCTCTTATACCTAAACCGGGTCGGCAGCTAGTGTCATCATACAGACCAATCTCTTTACTACCCACTGAAACCAAAATAATCGGGAAAATCCTTGCAAATAGATTGAAGGAGCATATCTGTGATATTATACATTCGGATCAGACAGGCTTCATGCCAGGCAGACATATGTATTTTAATCTACGTCGCCTATGCAATGTTTTATATTCAAATCATAAAGAAGAAGCTGCAGTCATTTCATTGGATGCACAAAGGGCATTCGACCAAGTAGAATGGGGATATATGATGTCGGTCCTTAAGAAATTTGGTTTCGGCCACGTGTTTAGAGAGTGGATAAAAACAATATATTCCTGTCCAAAAGCCTCAGTAGTGACTAATCATAATATCTCAGCTCCTTTCTCAATTTATAGAGGGACAAGACAAGGCTGCCCGCTGTCCCCATTTCTTTTCGCAGTTGTGATAGAGCCCTTGGCTGTATACATTCAGCAACAGGCAGATATCCAACCAATCACGATAGGTGGC